AGGTTTAGGGTGGACATTGGGGTGGGAAAACTCGAATCAGGTTGAACCGACCTGAAACTGAACCCATCCAAATATGAGCACTTGATGGGTTGAGATTCGGATGGCTCTATTGTTGGTGGACAAAAATGGGTTCAGAACGAACCGAACCGAAAAAACAGAATTGTGAGTCGAGTTCCAATTAGCTAACCAGACCTAGCCCAACTCATTTTGACCACTATTTTCAGTGTAACCCAATTTGGCACACACCTATCTTCAGCCCACGCCTGCCCTCTTCTCCTCCCAATTGGAGGACCCGATCCGGACTCATATATTATTCATTCTCCCAACCCGTTCAACATCAAATCTAACTCTGCCTTAGCCCAATGATGACCTCTAGCCTCTCCCAACTCACTCTTGTCTCTAGAGATGATAATCGGTTAGTCGGTCAATGATTTAACAAGATATCAAATCGATTACTGCGATTAACAGTATAACCAGTAATTGGCGGTACTGGTAGGCGGTAGTTGATAGACTGTATTCGATATACTGAGTCATATCCGATTATTAACCGACGGTTAATCGGATAACCGAATTTACCGTATCAAACCCTTCCCCTAACTCCAATTCCTTCCCCTAATCTACAAATTCTCTTCCAATCTCTGTTATCGTTTGGAGAATATGAGTCTCGTTTTATTTATGGATTTGAAAAATCAAGGTTTTGATTAAAACCTGGGTTTTACAAAACCATGGATATATGATGGAATTGCCTCATTTGGTTTTTGGTACGAACCATTGTTTGCTTGTTGGATTTGACATTGTTATATTTATGGTTGTATTAGAAATTTACCTTAGTGCCCTTATTGAGTATTATTTATTTTACATTATAATTTTTATTACAAAATTTTTTTCATCCAATAGCTTCATTCCACTAACACTATCGAAACAAATGAACATCATCAATCAATAACAACTTTATATTATACATACAATTAGACAATTCCTTAAGGGGTCATTTGGATGAGGTTTTAACGTGGGTTATTGGTGGGTTATTTTGGCCTAAATAACTTATTTAGGCCAAAATAACCCACCAATAACCCACGTTAAAACCTCATCCAAATGAACCCTTTAAAGGTTTTTAATGTTGCAAAGTATGCTTTGAGATCAATCATGTAGTGTTTGTGTGCAGTGAATAATAATAAATATTAAATGCAAAATTAATATGCACTATAAGTTGGTCATTAGTAAATGAAAGAGGATAAGTTGGTGATTAGTGAAATAAATAGGGTTAAAATTGTAAAAAGTAATTATGGACTTTGTACCCCAACACAAATCCCACCTCTTGAGGTGGAATTCTCAAGTCCGTGGGCTCCATGGATTTGGACTCTAAAACACTGTGGGCCCCATGGATTTGTCCCTGCTAAATCCATCAAGCAAAAGATGGATTGTGTACAAATTCCATGATGGTTGGTTTTTATGTACCAAATCCATGATGAAATCCATTAAGCAAACAAGGCCTAAATCTCTAGATTGTCAACAATCTAAAGATTCTCTAACTCTTCGGATTGTTGAAAATATATTTTAAATTTTTTTATTGTTTGGTAACTGCGATTGTTAACATTTAATGACAAAAATTCTAATTTTATATTAAATAACATGTTTATCCTTGGATAAGCATGTAGCCAGATTTTGGTGGGGTGTGGTCGAGGGTCAGTCGCAGATTCGATGGATGTCCTGGCACAATATGTGCAGGAGTAAACACGACGGGGGAATGTGATTTCGTCGATTTGAGCATTTTTAATCAGACCCTTTTGGCAAAAATTGGGTGGCGTCTTAGACAGAATACCCGACAGGCGACTAGCCTTCACCGGAAGAGACTGCTAAGGCGATTCACACAGATCTCCACTATATTGAATAAATTCCATTACAAAGCAGTGAATTGACGTACTCTCGCACAACAAAATCACTACTATCAATCAAGGAAGCTCTCTTAACCTTATCAGATTCTATCTATCATAGGTTAAAGCGAAAATTAAGAGAATTTGATCAGGATTCAATTGACTCAATAAATCATGCCTCAATCGATTATAATCACACAATATAACATCCAAATTTTCAAACAAGAAAGATCCTGACACATGGAACTAGGATTCCTCAAAACCTAAGTGAAGGGAAGTTACTCCATAGAGAAGAGAGAGATTGCAGTATAACTTTCTAGATCTTCAATCTTCATGTCTAGACTTGTTCCTTGAGCTTCAATGGTGAAGAATCCTCCAAAATAGAATGGCTCTAGATCGCCCTCTCTCTCTCTCTCTCTCTCTCTCTCTCTCTCTCTCTTTGGTTTGTCCCTTGGGTGTTTGAGATCCAAAACCCAGCCCTCTCTCTCCAAAAATTTCAAAACAACTTTTATACCTGCTGAGATTCGCACCCCCTACTTGCACGGTCATGCAAATTGGGGTTTTGGCCGTGCAAACCCCCCTGTAAAACTCACACGGCCGAGAAAAATTTTACACGGCCGTGCACAATTTCCAGCATGCACTCCTAGCTTCATTGAGCTCGTTTGACCTCTGATTCAGGTGTCGTTTGATCCCAGATGCTCATAGTCTTGTCCTATTTCTTTTCATGACAATCTTACATGATTATTTATCAATAAAATGAGGTATAAATCCATTCTTCCTCAAGTCATTCCCGAGTTTCTCCCACTGAGTCGCCAATTGATCACCGATTGACTTGAAACTTGCGCCTAGACTTCACTTTACATGCTAGGACCTGAAATGTGACAAAGGAACACAACCTAGCATAAAGTAAACCAAATTAGGATAAACACCAAGCTAAACTATCAAGGAATGAGAGGTAAAACATGTGTAAATATGTAGTCATCACGTATCCTTTCTGATCCTCAGTCCCTATTGGCTCAGGTATACAAAGGGAAGTATTTCCCTAATACCACATTCCTAAATGCTACAGCTCAGTCTCGCTCATCTTGGGTGTGACAGAGTATCCTCTATGGCCGGAAATTACTAGAAGTTGGGTTACGCTGGCAAATTGGTAATGATCGGACGACGTCTCTGATCCTTTCTAATTTGATACCTATGTGTCGGTTGAGTCGAGCGCGAGACTCAGGCGATGCTTCCCTCTTATTCTTCGATCAAATGGGGCTCTGCAAAACCATAGTTTTGATTTTGACAAGATCAAGTGAGGACAGTGAAATGAACTGAAAATCGAATCGATGGAAAGAGTAAAGTGACTTCTCTTTTTGTGTTTATCAAAACGACAACAGATCTGATAATTTATCTTGAAGTGGGTTGGGCTTAGGTTGTTATCAAACTCTCAATGTTAAAACGGCCCAAATCACTTGGGTAGAGCACTGCGTTTTGAGAACTCAGTTTCCTTCTCCTTCCCTTGAACAAATTGATCAAAACCTGTTATGCACAAAACTCAAACTCGCACCAAATCAAGAACACATATATGAACTAGGAATAAAACAAAACACAGTAAAACACAAGTTAACTCGGACACGATATTTTTACGTGGTATCCGATACTAATGAATTCAATATCGACTCATCCACGGTCAAATGTACTCTGCTTGAGTCCTTTGACGTTATACTATGATCTTTGGTTTCTGATTACACAGTACAGCTTTGATCTCATAATGACTCCCTGCCACCCTGATCAGAATCACTTAGGGCATGTTTGGAGGATGCGATTCATACAATTGATGTATTCTATCAATTAGTGTATTGTAAATATATGCATTCTATCAATTGTTGTATTTGGTAAATCCCTTGTTTGGTGTTGTATATTGTACTTTTCACATAACCTAAAAATAGTACACTTTTCAGATTAATGGGCATAATTGCCCTTCACCAACTCCTCCTTCCTTTATATCCACAATCATTTGTTTACAATCTCTTATTTAAGAAGAGATTGTAAATCATTCATTATGAAGGATTGTGAGTGAGCCCCCAAAAAGGTAATACATGCATTTCAGCTCAAATTAAACAAAAAAAACAACTTAATCTCCTCAATGCATGTATTGGCTAAATCATTCATCTCAAATCCTAACCTCCAAACAAGCCCTTAGAACCTACAGCTCCCTGCTGCCGTTCAAACTCGATGAACTAAACCTTTCAAGCTCTCTCCCTGACAGCTCTCTCCTTCTCTAATAAAAAACCCTGACAATACCCTTTGTTTCTGTTTTTGTTTCTCGTGAAAAGGGTGCAGCTCTCTACCCAGGCCCTTTCACTCTTTATATATACATTCTCCTAGACGTTAACACCTAATGATATCAATCAGACAGATTCTGCTTTGAGCCTTATTGAAGACACCTTCATCAATTATTTTGCCGAGAGTGGAATTTCCTTTTCGATCATTTTCCTCAGGTTTCCTCAATTAGAGCCTGGCACAAGCTTGCCTTCTTTCAACATTCTCCCCCTAAGCTTGTCAGTGGCTCTACTCAGCAACCTGCACACATTGAACAAACCATGGGTGCAGCCTGTCCAAACACACTTGTACACTTGTTGCGCTGAAAAGGAAATTCATTCATTTATTCTTCTTTCAAGACAATATCCAAAGACAAAAAAACCCCAAAGACAGAAACCCTCGACTCGACAAACAGCTCAATGGACCATAAGGTAATGTCCTAAGGGGTCGTTTGGAAGTTGCGATTGTTTTGTTGAGATTGTCATTATGCATGTATTATTTACAATGCTTGGTTTTTTTTAGCAGAAAAAATACATGGATTGTTTCTATGATGTGACAGAAACTATCACTCATTTTGAGTGATTGTTATATCTCAACTTTTAGTTGTGATTGTTGAGATAGTTGACTTGAGATTGTTTTGTCTCAGCTTTTAGCTGATGCGACATACACAATCACACATACCAAACGTTGTATTCTACAATGCATCAAATTCGATAATACATGTATAATATTATACATGCATTCTCAACAATACATCTATTTAACAATCTCAACTTCCAAACGACCCCTAAGACTCAACTATGCCTTCAGAATCACTTCTTAAAATGGATAGTTAGGAGGTGATGCATATCCTGAAACCCTATCCTCATCACCAGAGTCTGAATCTGGAGTAATCGGATCACTGATCTGATTAGACTCATATACAAACTTTGGTAACATCAAATCCTTTTCAAGCATTAGCTTCCTCTTTGGACCACTCTTGGTAGTAGCATCTTGTTTAAATGCTGCAGCAGCTGCATTAACAAGAGCCGAGGTGGCAATCTGTTGATGAATGTTCACTCCCCCTGAGCTAGTGACAGGCTTACGGGGACCAACCAATGCATCGAGACGCGCAAGGACGTGCTGAGGACGCAAATCATCCAGAACATCACAGACAATAACTTTATCACGTAAGTCAATGCCCAGACGGTATAGAAAACACATGATTTGAGGGCCAAATGGCAATGGACCACTGTAGTATTCACGCCCAAACTTTATCATGTGCTAGAACATGAGAGAAGCATAACTAATGCGACGACCAGCACGCGCATTAAAAAGAACCCAAAGGTCAGGAGAATGGATGAGATCAGTGCTAGAAAGATCACGAGGCAGGAACCAACGCGTGAGAAAGAAGAACAGCACCTTGAGATCATCTGGCAACCTGCCAGCGGCGAGTTTGGATGGAAACCAGCGGCCTATGTTACGAGCCAGGAATTCAAGTGCGTGATCAAACCGGAAGCCAGACTGATAGAACTCCCTGTCTGTTCCAGCTTGAATCCCACCATGAGGGAGTTCCAAGACTGACGCCAGCAACTCAGGCGTCACTTTAATCTCATAGTCATAAACCAGTGTGGTGAAGAAGTTTGGATCATTCCCAGGACCACATCTAAGATTGACATAGAAGAGACGAACAACCTCAGGACATTGACTAAACCGCAGATTTGTGACCAGAGACTCCCATCCTAGATTCCTAAGATATGCAGGGATATTCATATCATATTTTGAGAAGGTGGTAGGCTGAATGGAGAAGGAAGGATATAGAGGCCGATCACGGAAACTACGAAGATACCTAGAGTAGGTAGCATCATTGCGAAAGCTTTGATTTTTTAACAGGGCCGACGACTGCAGCTGAGTGGTGTTAGGAACCATTGTTGAAAAGTCTTGTTTGTTTTCTTTCTGTTTACCAGAGAGGTTTTGAGGCAGTAGGGGGATAATGAAGAGAACAAAGAGATGGTATTAGGTTTATATACAGTAGACTGCATTAAACCAAGGAAACTCTTCGGATGGAAGGGAAAGAATCAGAGGATGAGTGGAAGAGATCCGTGAAAACATGGCAAGAGAATATGTTAGGTACAATCAAATCTCATTAATGTCTTCTTAAGTAAACATGCCAAGTTCATTTTGAATTGGTAAGAATTTTTCAGCACTTAAAGAGTTAGTAAAAATATTGGCCCATTGCATCTCTCTATTAATGAATTCTAAATGGATTTTGCCATCTTATACGAGATCACGAATAAAATGATAACGTACTTCGATATGTTTAGTTCGCGAGTGTTGAATAGGATTTTTTGTCATGTTTATAGCACTCGTGTTATCACACAAGATGGGGAGGGATCCTATACTAACACCATAGTCCTGAAGCTGGTACTTCAACCACAATAGTGGAGTACAACCTAACCCTGCTGCAATATATTCTTCCTCGGCAGTTGATAATGCAACAGAGCTCTGCTTCTTACTAACCCAGGAAATGATTGACGTGCCAAGAAAATGACACGTCCCAGATGTGCTCTTCCTATCAGTCATACATCCAGCATAGTCAGAATCGCTATACCCTAGCAATTCAAGACTTGACTCACACAAATACCACAACCCAAGAGAAACAGGACCACTGAGATAAAGAAAGATACGTTTTACTGCAGTTAGGTGACTAATCTTAGGATTGCTCTGAAATCTGGCACAAGCACACACACTGTACATTATGTCAGGCCTACTGGCAGTTAGATAGAGAAGAGAGCCAATCATTCCTCGATATAATTTATCACTAACTTGTTCTCCTGATTCATCCAAAGAAAGTTTTACTGTGGAACCCATTGGTGTAACTGCAGATTTCAAATTCTTAAGGTCAAAGCGTTCGAGCATGTTGTTTAAGTACTTAGTTTGACTTATAAAGGTGCCTTTGCTAGTCTGCCGAACTTGCATACGCAAGAAATACGTTAGTTCCCCCATTAAGCTAATCTCAAATGCCCCTTTCATAAATGATTCAAACTGTTTACACATTTCTTGAGACGAGCCAAAGATTATGTCGTCTACATACACTTGAACAAGCATAGTATGACCATTTAAGCTTTTAATGAATAAAGTTTTATCTACAGAACCTCTACGAAAACCATCCATTATTAAGAAATTACTGAGTTTATCATACCAAGCCCTAGGGGCTTGTTTCAATCCATATAGGGCTTTGTTCAGTTTATACACATGATTAGGAAATTTGTGATTTTCAAACCCAGGAGGTTGAGCAACATAAACTTCTTCTTTTAAGTCTCCATTGAGAAAGGCACTTTTAACGTCCATCTGATATAGTTTAAATCTATGAGATGCAGCAAAAGCATTCAACAGCCTGATGGCTTCTAGTCTAGCTACAAGAGAAAATGATTCATCGAAGTCTATTCCTTCCTCCTGATCATACCCCTGTGCTACTAGCCTAGATTTGTTCTTAGTTATATCCCCAATTTCATCAGTTTTATTCTTATAGACCCACTTGGTTCCAATTATAGGTTTATCCTTAGGTTTTGGAACGAGTTCCCAAACATTTAATCTTTCAAAATACCCCATTTCATCTTGCATAGAGGCTGTCCAGAATTCATCATTCATGGCCTCTTTAATATTCTTAGGTACTAACAGAGACACAAAAGCAGTATGCACAGATGACAGTTTAGATCGAGTAACCATACCTTCTCTCAAGTTACCTATGACCTGAGATGGTGGATGCCATTTTTGAATGTGCAAAGGTGCTTCTTTGACTTTGTTTATATCAGTCTCTGTTGTTTCTCCTTCACCTGTCTGTTCTCATGAGCCTTCATTTCTCATCTCATGTTCAGCTTGTTCTACTTGACTAGATTTATGTGGTCTTCCTAACCCAAGATCATCATCTTCATCAATTTGATGCACACTTACTAGGAGAATCATCAAATACCACATTTATGGACTCCTCAACTTTGAGGGTCCGTTATTTCTATACCCTGAAAACCCTGCTATGAACAGAATACCCTAAAAAGATTGCTTCATCTGACTTAGAATCGAACTTCCCTAGATTATCTTTGGTATTGAGAACAAAACATCTGCACCCAAAAGGGTGAAAATATCCCACATTTGGTTTTATGTTTTTCCATAATTCATAAGGTGTTTTATTTAGCTTAGACCTGATTAGACCTCTATTGATAATATAGCAGGCAGTGTTTATGGCTTCTGCCCAAAAATATTTTGGTAATCCATAGTCATTTAACATAGTCCTAGCTATATCTATTAAGGTGCAATTTTTCCTTTCTACCACTCCATTTTGCTGTGGGATTCTAGGAGCAGAAAAGTTATGAGATATCCCTGTCTCTTCATAGAATTTATCAAAACTATCAGAAATAAACTCTCCCCCGTGATCACTTCTTATACTCACAATTCTGGTACCCTTTTCATTCTCTAGTCTTTTAACCAAATTTTTAAATTGCACAAAAGTCTCCCGTTTATTCGAGAGAAACAGCACCCATGTAAACCTGGAGTAATCATCTACAACTACACAGGCATAGTATTCTCCACCAAGACTCATTACATTACTTGGACCAAAGAGATCTAAATGTAATAATTCTAATGGTTTAGAAGTAGAAATTACAGGTTTACTCTTAAATGAAGATCTAACCTGCTTACCTCTTGTACAGGCTTCACAAAAAATTCCTTTTTACTGCTTATTTTTGGTATTCCAATTACACAATCCAGGCTAATCAGTTTAGTTAAGGATCCTACACTAATATGGCCCAACTTTCTGTGCCAATTTAACTGCTCATTTTTATCCACAGTTATCAAACACATCTCATTAAAATCATTCTTGTTATTCAGGTTTATGCATAACAATTTTCCTTTTCTTCTGCCTGTGAACAATATTTTCTTACTTTCAATGTTCTCAACATAGCACTTATTAGGTTCGAAAATAACCCTATTTGTTTCTCCACACATTTGACTTATCGAAAACAAGTTATGCTTAAGACCATCGACCCACATCACATTAGTTATAATTGGTCCTGTTCCTATTTCTCCCTTACCCAGAACATCGGTACTATAATTATCTCCAAAGTAAACCTTACCTTTCTTACCTTTAATCAGTTTAGAAAAGAGTTTTTCATTTCCAGTCATGTGGTGTGAGCACCCACTGTCCAGAATCCATTTCGCTGTCTTCCATGCTCACTTGGAAGCAGACCTGGACACAAAAACATTTTATTTGTTTTTCGCTATCCAAACCATTTTGGATACTCCAATTCTCATTTTGACATCAGTACAATTATAACTCATATGCCCTTTCTTATGACATGAAAAGCATACTGTTTCTTTTAACCTAGCTTCCTTAGCTATTCGTTTTTGACAGTGTGAGATATAATGTCCTAGACCATGACAATAAAAACATTCTGGGGTTGACTTGTTATGACTCTTTTGTGTTCTTAATGGCTTATTATGTTGTGCACACAGATTCCTACAAGCTTTCCTACTTTTGACAATTTGTGCCTCTAGTTCTGCATTTCTTCTTACAGCTTCTTCAAGTCTTTCATCTGTTTCCAATTTTTCTTTTTTCAGTTTATCGTAACTTCTAAGTAGATCCTCGAATTCAGATTTCATTCTAATATGTTTTGATCTAACAATTTCGAATTCTGACTGAATGTCCCTTATGGTTTCTATTATTTGACCATCTTCATCACATGAATCTGAATAGTAGTTAGAATTCCTGACCTGTGATGCTTCCATATCATCTTCACTCTCATCAATGGCCATATATGCTTCATATTTGGGCTCAACCTCTTCCTCTTCATCTTTACTGCAACTCCAGGTGGCCATGTATGCTTTCTCTCGCTTTATTTGTGGACAATCTGTTTTGATGTGCCCACTCCTTCCATACTTGAAGCACCCTGCTGATGATCCAGCCTTGTTGTCGTTGCTGATTAACTCTCGTCTGGCTCTTGGATTGGCCCTAAACATTTTCATTTGCTCCTTTTCTGAATCACCTTCCCTTGTGTGATTAGGAAAACCTCATTTTCTCTTTTCTCTGCAGTCTAAGTAGCTTGGCCACATGCTTACTTAGCATGGCCAGTTCTCCATCTTCCATGTCTTCCAGGCAGTCGAGTTCTTCTTCTGGTGTAGATACTTTGAATGCAATGCTCTTCTTTTCTTTATGAACCTCCTCTCCTTCTTCTCTTCTAAGTTTTTCTTCGTGTGTAACTAATGAACCCATGAGTTCATCCAAACTCAGCTTTGTTAAATCCTTCGATTCTTCGATTGCAGTAACCTTGGGAGTCCAACGTTTTGGGAGAGCCCAAAGCACTTTTCTCACCAAGTCAGCACTGTTGTACTCCACATCCAGATTCCTCAAACTGTTTACAATGGTAGTAAACCTATCGTGCATCTCCTTGATGGTTTCCTCATGCTTCATCACAAATGACTCAAACTCTTGCTTCAATCGATTAATTCTGGATATTTTGACGTGAGTAGTTGATAACGATGTAACTGCACATATTTGCGCCGCTAGTTCTTATCCGTTTGAGGGGCATAGTCGTGTATTTTTGGCCTATTTTACGCCGGGTTGTGCTATTTTGTCATATTTCAGGTCCCATGCGTTAAAGGAAAGGCTAAGCACGAGTTTCGGGGCATTCGGAAGTCATTTCGTCGAGCTGGAGCCAAAACACGGGCACACCTAAAACAGAACACGGCCGTGTTCTGAGGCGGTGCTTTTACTGCCGAGAGCTAATTCGAGTTTGGCAAACATTGGCTAAAAACACGGGCATGGGTTAGACAAAGCACGGCCGTGTCCACCCAAAGCACGGCCGTGTCCACCCAAAGCACGGCCGTGTCCTCCCTAAAGCACGACCGTGTTTCTCCCAACACAATGGCCGTGTAAT